TACACAGATCTACTGCAAAAATGTCTTGGGATGCAACATAATGATAGAAAAGGAACAAGAAACATGTGAAGAGAAATATTTTATAGACAAATACTCGATAACAAGGATATTTAGGAATTTGATCGTAAATCAAACCATCTTTAGAGATTACCCAAGGAAGCTCCTGCTTTACTGATGGTAAGACAAGATTCATAGAAAGCTACAACTGGAAAGTCTACTGCCAAACCAGTTCCTCCACAAGTTTCATTCCTTTAAAACATTTTAAAGTACATTTCATATGTGCTTTTAGATAAAGTTTTCTGCTTCTGTTTGTATATATTAGATTTTACTTGTATCTCACAGGTAAAAGTTTCCTTATAATAACAGTGGATATACATTTACTTATATCAATTAACTTTGAAGTATTTAGGAAGGTTCAGCCTATATTCTTGTTTCATTAGGATGAAGTTATTATTATTATTATTTTATTATTATTATTTTAGCTCATCATGTGACTGAGGGAAAACTTAGGTGGGAGTAGAAATACCAACTGTGTCCTGCTTGGCTTTGTTCCTATGAGTTTGTACATGGTTTCTTATAGGGCATATGCAAAGGTATTTGCCTATTTCATGAGGATCACTATGTTTGAAACCTATAATCATATATTTTAAAAACTTGGTTCAATATGGCTAGTGACTTACAGCACACTGAATGTAGATGAACTTGATTGGGCAATGCTGTCACTTAACCTGATTGGTTGCGTCCCTAGTTCTCCCTTTATACATCACTACAGTAGGGCTGAGTACCACCTGATACCAGGGTTAAGTGCAAGGCAGTGTCCAAAAGATAAGAAAATTTCATTTTCTTGTCTTGTTGGATTTTGAAAGTTCTACTGTCTTTCTATACCCAAAAGGCAAGATAGATATCCACCTGGACACTTGTCAACTTATGAAACATTAGACAGCTGCTGCTTTGTAATAATGATGCAAAATTGAAATGCATAACTGTGATTAAGCCTTTGTACTTTTGAAAGCCAAAAATCTACTATATTTCTGAGTTTATTATCAGAGAAAATTTATTCAAAAGTTCACATCTTTATTTGTGAAATGTTCATGTTTTATTAATGTGAACTATTTTATGTTGCTATTTTGAAAATGAAATTGTATCATGCATGCAAATTGTTGCCCATGGTGATCTGCTAATAAGTTAAAAACTCTAATATTGCTGATATGAGAAGATTATAAGGGAAAGTGCCTACATTTTATTTCAAAATTATTTGCTAGAGATGGAGGAAATAGATTTGGTTGGAACTAGGAAACAAGCTTGAAGGTTAGACTAGAGCAAAAAGACTCAGTAATCTTCTAAATGATTTTCTATAGTGGATTCAAAGTCATTCACTGATATATTTTGAGGAAACATAACTTTCAAATATATTCTCTATTTCTGTGAAAATTAATTACAAAGAAGAGAAAAAGTTTTTAAAAAAAATACTGTATGATAAGAATAAAACCATACACGGAGAACTAACAATGAGTGAGCCCCTCTCCTTGGGTTTGGGGGAAGCTGGCTGGTCTGAGCAAAGGGAAGTCCACTTGGGAGAGCAGCAAACAGGCCTTGACTCAGAATAAACACATTGTTCTTGTGAACAGTGTCTCTGTAAGTAATATGTATAAATATGTGTAACAGGGAGAAAGATTGGCTTGGTGGCTAGAGGGAGATTTTGGATATCACGGCTCTGATTAGAGATTTTTCTTAAGAGCCACGATTACACTGTGAAAATTGTGACCTTTCCCATGTTTCCTCATAGTGATGTTTGCTTTACTGTTCCCAAAAGGTAATTGTCAAGACAAACAATGGATTTGGAAAAATTGTTCAGACTTGGATATTTCTAAAACTTTCTCACTTCTTAGTGTTTTGAAAATCACTAAATGTTGGCTAAAGGCTGACAAATGGCTCAGTGGGTAAAGGCAATGGCTGCCAAATCTGAAGATCTGACTTTTGATTCATAGGACACGCATCATAGACAGAAATAACTGACTCTTGTAAGTTTCCCTCGACCTCCCTACACATGCCATGGCATGGATAGTCCCGTACAAATATGTGCACATAAGTACAATAAAAAATTAGACGTTCTAGCTCCCTCAAAATGTAAAATAAGAGTTTGAAAGAATAAATTCACTAATTAACTAACTTGAACATTTCACTTTACCTAATTTTTCTAATTAAGTTGTTTTTCAAATCACATATCCATTCTACAATTTTTGTTTCTCCTAGTTTATGAATAACAGTGAGTGACAGAAAGATGGCTTAATAGTGAAAGGCACTTGTCATCAGACTTGGTAATCTGAGTCTCCAAGCCTCACATAGTAAAAGAGTTAAAAGAAAGCCAACCCCTGCAAGTTAGCCTCTGACTTTCACATGCTTCTCATGGCATTTGTGGCACACACATGCACACATAATAATTAAGGTAAGTAAATAAATAAATATGAAGAAAGAATAGCACACATTACTAGGAAAAAGCATGTCCATAAATAAAGCCTCTATTTGTGAAATTATTGGAATCATATCCCTAAATACTGTTATTGGTGACTATCTGTAAAATAAACCTAAAAATAAACGAACATGATATTTGATCCTAGTGTTCAGACGAGTAGGTAGGCATAAACAACAAGTTTGCTGCTTGACAAGGAGTGTGAATAGATTCTGTTCTTGTCTATTTCAAATTCTTATAATCTTTGTGGGAAAAAATGGTAGAAGTGATGAAATCTATAGCAAATCAGCCTTTATGGTGTTTAATTTTATGTTCAGCTTCTGACATTGTAAATTAAATTTATATTGTGACATCATAATCAGCAAAAGCAAACCTGTCCCATTTGATAACAATGGCTACTTCTAGGAGGGTCTCTTCAGACTGGTTGCAATAGTAGCTGAAGAGACAAGTTAACCAAATAGTTCTGCTGTATCCCACCATTTGGTGTGTTAAACTGTGTTCTATGTCACTTTCTAAGAGACATGCAAATTCAGAGATACAGCTTCTTCTTGCAACAAGATACCCAATAAGATGGAGTGGGGGGTTCTAATTCCTGATACTTTAGATCTGCTTTACCTTAGGTGAAGTCTACTCTTCAAGAGGAATGACTCTAAATAATTCTTCTGAGGCTTATGTCATCCATAAAACCAAAACAGAAATAAAATTATTTTATGAGCTTCTAGGATAGTTGTGATAAAAATTATTCTACAAAACTACTGACATTTTCTATGTATTGACAATGATCATAGAATCTTACTAGTTATTCTACAGTAACAAATGAAATCAAACACATCTAAGGGATGCTGAAAGTGGGAGAAATAGCCCTTCCCAGGGGTGAGTCCTTTAATGGGTTATCCAGTGCCAACTCGCTAGCCCTGAAATCATAAATACTATTAACACTGGTATTTACAATTACACACACACACACACACACACCAGTAACAACTAAAGAAAAGGAGGCCATGATTTTGAGTGGAAGTATAGCGGGAGATGAGCATGGAAAGGGCTAGAAGAAGAAAAGGAAGGGAAATAGAGAAATAATACAAGGAAAGAATGATACATTAAAGATATTTGGTTCTGATGGACAGCCAGTGGGAAAAAATTGCTTGCTCTGCAAGCATGAGGACCAAAGTTCAGTACCTAAGTAAAATATTAGGGCAGGCGTAGTAGCTGTCCGCCATTCTAGTACTTGGGCGGCAAGAACAAGTGATGTCTGTGGCAAGCTGGCTAGTGAGACTAAATGATCAGTGAGCTCTGGGTTCATGTCAGAGAACCTGCATCAACAAAAGAACTGGAAGGTGTTGAGGGCATCACCCTCTGTCCATTCTTGCCTTTCCCCAGATATGAGCATACATGCATATACACCCTCACATATGTGCACACACGTGAGAATGTACATTCATACTCATATGCATATTCATGCAGCACAAAGATCAGTCCAGCCAACACTCTAAGCTGACATAATTCCATGATGCCTTGTGAAGAGTGCTGATATACTGGGGTGCATTATGTTATGATTTATTAATGTGTGTTTTCCTCTATGAATTCTATAAGGAAAGAAAAATGGACATTATACATGTCAAATTTCCCTTTGGAGAATCATAGGGCTTAAAAAATAGCTCAGAACTCCTACATTAATTAGAATGATGCAATTATTTTTCATTATAGTAAAGTATAAACAACATGACATGTATTTTAAACATATGGTTCAACTACATTTAGTACTTTTATCCTCTAGTTCCAAGTGTACAACTTTTCAATCAAAATCTGACCGGGTCTATTTCCTTCTGGGAAATGTATTTCACTTTTTAATTTTGGTGTGTCTAAAGGAGAATATATTCATGGAAAAACTAATCAAATCTTCTCTTCTGAAAATTAGAAAAATGTTGAGAGATTAAATGTCTTTCTTAAAAATCACACTGGTAGTTAAGACAGCACACATCTTAGTCGGATATCCTACTTCTGAATACAGGGTATTTGGTATTTCAAGAAACTTCACTTGTTTCCATTTCTGTTCCTGTTCAGATGATTTAATAATCCTAAAAGTGTATGCTGACAATTTCATAGAAGAGTTTAAGATTCAAAGAAGCATCTTGGACTGAGGATATAGCTCAGTCAGTAAAATATGTGCAAAGCAAGCTTAGGAACCTGCATTCTACCCCCATATCGTAGATAAGAAAAAGGGGCATGGAGTCCACTATCTTGGCTTCAAGCAAACGGGCCCTGGCCCTCAGTGTAGAGCCTATTTGGTGAGCTCCAGGCTAAAAAGAGACCTTGTCTGAAAGGACAGTATATCTAAGGATGGTACAGAGGTGGCCCTTTGACATCCACACACATGCACAGCAGCATACTCATGTACACACACAAACATGAAATAAGCACCTAATATTTAAAAGTTGTACTATGCTTGCTTGCTTTATGGCTTTATCATTGTGGTTTTCTTATGAGAACTTTCATTGTAATAACTCTAATCACATGATTCTCTTCTTAGGTCTATTTAAGGTCATAGCTGACAAAACTCCATACCTTACAATGGAGGAAATCACAAGAACCATTCAGATTGGACCAAGTAGACTAGGACATCCTTGCTTTTATCACCTGAAGGATATAAAACTAGAGAATCTCACCATAAAGCACGGTGAGCCAATAAGACTCAACTCAGTTGAAGAGCTCGATGGAGAACTGCTGGTGAATTGTGGTTTGGTAAGGGATCATCAGAGTCACTCATTTACTTTGCCACTGTCACAAGAAGGAGAATTCTATGAATGTGAGGATGAACATATTTACACCCTAAAAGAAATTGTTGAATGGAAGATTCCTAAGAACAGAACACGGACTGTGAAACTTACAAATTTCTCAAATAAGTGGGACTCACCCAATCCATTCCCTGAAGGCTTTTATGGTACTGTGATTCTCAAGCCTGTTTATGAAATCCAAGGTGTGCTGAAATGTAAGTATACACTGAGAAAGGTATCCTGGGTGGGTGAGCATCATGGGGGGGTGTTTACCAACTAAAGAATGGGACCCTGTGCTGTCATTCATGAAGTATCTTAGATTCTGCATCTGTGCCTAAGAAAACTAAAGACAGATCTGTCTTAAGAAGCAAATGAAGTAGTGAGAATGCAGATATATTATAAATTACATAATGATATCCAAGCACAGGATGCTGTAACTATTGGCTGCAAGTGGACTAAAACACTAGTTCTTTTTATTACTTGTTATTAAGAGTTAATTTTTAGAATGAGCATCCAAAATCAGCTTTCTTTATTTCAAAAAAAATCAGCCTCTTATGACTGGTCACAATTTCTTTTAGCATAGATTCTCTGACTTACAGAAGATGATATGGTAAATTATTATTATTATTATTATTACTATTATCATTTTGGTTTTTGAGACAGGATTTCTCTGTGGCTCTGGGTATATTATTTTTTACACTAGTGTATTTCAATGTGCAATCTTCCCTGATTTTTTTTTTGTATTTTAAAAGTCATTATTATGCCAAATATATTAACACCTCCAAATTTCAATCTTATGGTATGTAAGTGAGGCAATTAGTGGATTATGGAATTCTGAACCTAGTTCTAGCCAAGCCTGATAGCATGCCCAATAGTCCTAGCTTCTTTAGGGGCTGAGGAAGGAAGGTGACAAGTGCCGACCTTCCTGGATAAGTTCAAAGCCATTCTGATCAATATAGTAAGACTCAGTCTCAAAATAAAAAAATAAAAAAGGCACAGAATACAGCTGAGGAAAATTTTTTAAAATAAGTGAGATCTAAAGTTCAGTAATTTTCAAAATAGGAGCTTTGTGCAAGCTGTTCTTGTTTGCCCTCATAGAGTTGTTTTGAAAAGTGAAATAAAGTAGAACTAAAGAACCTAAGATCATTAAACTATGCCAAAATCTACCTCTTTAAATGTCTCAAAATTGATTTTTCTCTGCCTTTACTGTTCTTACACACTTACAAAAAGAAATTATGTGAATCTTTTGACAGGTTTTAGAGTTGTGTGTTAAATGCTATCATACTAAAAGTTAATTAAAATTTGTCAATTCATTTTTGAACTAAAGGTATAGGAATCATTTGCATGATTTGATTTTATAAAATATTAAGACCACTGAAAATTTTAGAACTCACAGTAGTGTTCTGTTAGCTGCCTCTAAGCATGCCAAATGAGATGGATGGTTGAGTTTTTCTTACTGTTCATGAATAATAGACACCGTTTTCTTGTTTTCAAATCAGTGAATTTTCAAAAATTACCATCTTCTACCTATCACATGCTTACAGATGAGAACAAACCCAGAACACAAACATTTAGACAGAGAGGTTAGAACTTGTAAGGAATTTGGATTATGAATCAAGTGCTGATAGATGGATGAAAGGTAGTCAAAAAAAGGATAAAAGGACAAATTTAAAGACCCACTGGAAAGAGGCAACCTGTGGGAAAGTGGATAAGCAAGTGAGTGAAAATTCAGCCCAGTTGTATAAAAAAAGAGGACAGACAGAGATAAATATAAAAATACAAATGGCAGGTGTGTGTGTGTGTGTGTGTGTGTGTGTGTGTAACCATTCACAGGTCATGAAGCCTATCCAAGAAGATAAACTAAACTTGAGATTTATCCTAATCATGACAGTGATAATCTGAGAGAAGCAGAACATAGGAGCAAGGTAATTTCAGTGAGAAATCTAGCTGGATTAGAGTTCTGTTCAGTGGACATGGAATTGGGCAAGACAGGAAACTGAGATGTACTTAGTATTCATGATGTGTCATCAGCAGGGTCTAGAAGTCTATTGGATGGGGACTTGGTCAACTGGTCAACCTTATTCTCAGCCTTTGATATGCACTTATTGTATATGAACAACAGAGAGCAGGATTTGTTTAAAAAATTGTTCAGGTATATTTAAATAGAGTTTTCTGCTAACCAAGAAACAACCTTTGAACATTCTTCATGAAATGTTTTAGCCTTGTTTCTACTATATGTTAGGATTAAATTTTCATATTCTTTATGCTGGGTCACTTTTCAGGAAAACTATGATGTCACTTCTTAACATTATAGCTCAGAATTGGTAGCTCAGAGTATACGCTATATGAGACTAGCTTGCATGTATGCAGACAGCAAAATATTTCATGAAAACCAAGGATAGGAATCTGCTACAAGTGCCCCATTAAACAAACAAAGAACAACAACAAAATCACTTTTGTTTTTATAGGTATTTCCCCCCTAAATATGACAAGGAAATGATGCTTTCACACCATTGTGGTTTTCATTTGCATTACTTTTTTTTTTAATGAGTTCAGGTACTTCTTGAACTCAAGAGACACTGCACAGTTGCTTTTTCCATGCCTGGGTAACAGTCTAAACCCCTTAGGCTTGAATGGTTTTCCCCCAACAAAGTAACAGGAAAAGAACTAGTCTGACATGGCTAGAATATTTTATAGGAATCATAGAGAAAGATGAAAAATCATTGGACACTAAAGATTTATGAAATATTGATTTTCTGAGAAAAACATGGTAAGTAACTAAAAAGAGGGAATACACATATTTTATTCTTATAGCTGGTTTTTAATATGTTGCTAATGTGGCAATTTATATCCCAGACAAAGGAAAAACAGCAGAAATGAAATGACAACTGTTTCTCAACCTGTGGGTCATAACCTTTTTGGGTGTCAAACAGCTCTTTCACAGGGGTCCCCTAAGACCATCAAAAAACACAAATTTTACATTATAACTAATAACAGTAGCAAAATTATAGTTATGAAATAGCAATGAAAATAATTTTTTGGTTGGGTATTGGTCTCTACAACATGAAGAACTGTATTAAAGGGTCTTAACATTAAGAAGGTTGATAACCACTGTGTTAAATGGAAAAGCACATTCTTGGTTTTTGCTCAAAATTCCCTTCTAGGTCCAATATCTTCCTGACTATCAGACACAATCAAAGATTGGTAAAATTGGTTTTTATGTTCTCATATTAATAACTTTATCAAAAACCTGTAACTGTTGGTCTCATATAAATCATTTCAATATGTGTGTTTTACTGAGGATTTCTATTACTGTAAAGAGACATCATGGCAATGACAACTCTTATAAAGGAAACTATTTAATTGAGGTGACTTGCTTGTAGTTCAGAGGTTTAGTCTATTATCATCATGGCAGGAGGGAAGACAGCATTCTGGCAGATATGGTGCTAGAAAAGGAGCTAAGGACCCATAGGCAACAGGAAGTGGTCTGAGATCCTAGGTATGGCTTGAGCATATATGAGACCTCAAAGCCCACCCCCACAGTAACACTCTTCCTCCAACAAGGCCATTCCTACTCTAAAAAAGATACACGTCCTAATAGTGTCACTCCCAATGAACTTATGGGGGCCAATTACATTCAATATACCACAAAGATTTTCTGCTTTTAAAAAACTATGAAATTTATGTGATTGGGCAATAGAAGGTTCAGTATTTATAACTGAAAAATTGAGTTCTTTATTTAAGTTTGACTCATAAAACAGTAGAAGTTTTGAATATTGACTTCCTTAATATTATGTTTTGAGGCATGGATTAATAATTCATTCCTCCTTAACTGAAAAAGTATTCAGCATCATGCAGATTCCCTTTGTCTTTTAGAGGAGAGCTAATGGTGCCCGAAGCTTAGAGGCCCAGTCTTCACAAAGTTATATAAAGACATCTACTCATATCATTAGCAGATGGGTGAAACCACTAAGTACATAAAAAGGAGACTCAGAAAGGTAGTTTTGGATGTTGTGTTTTAGATGATAAGTGAACATAAGAAGAATTCTTTCCTTTGCACTTTCCTAAGGCCTTAGACTCCACCATGCTATTTCCTTTCTTTGTTTCATTCAACTTTTAAAATACTTTTAACTTTAATAAAAATTAAAAAACTGAGTAATACCCAAGAAAGATGTGACAAAATTATATGCCAACCTTATGCCTTTGACTATTCTCAAATTTCCCATACATTCTTCTACTTCATGGTAATGTTTTTTTAGTATTTTCTCCCATTCTTTGTGGTATTCACCTTCCAATTTCCAAATGATAGAAGTATTAGTGGTTTCCAAGTCATGGACCATTTTAGATCGTAATGTAATGGCTAACTTTTTCACATGACCAGGAGGATGTATTATTTCCCATTTCCAATCTTTCAATGCATGGTGTCACATCTCAACAGAAATATTTTTGTTACTATAATGCTCACCCAAGTAGTTTGTGATGAGTATCATTCTTTTCCTGTCATGATGGTCTTCTTGTTTTGGCATGAACTTTTCCCAAGATACCTGTGTAAAGGAGAAAAAAAGAAAAAGAAACCCAGCCAATGCAATTTCTTAGAATGAAGCTATCCGTAGATCACTATGTGGTATAATTTTCCCTTGAAGGCATTCCTTCTGAAGTCCCTCATTGTTGTACTCCAGTCTTAATCTGATGACATTGACATATTATGTAGGGGCTTCCAATACAGACAATCCTTATAATACCTTCCTCTGCCTTGCATTTGTGTGAATAGCTGATTCTCTAATCAAATAAGGAAATTGCCTCTCTACCTTTTCTTCCAGTTCTGATGAAGCCCATCCTCCACACATATCCTTATATAAGTAAAGAAACTGCACGTTTGAAAACGTTTTATCCTCTATGCTCACACATGTGACAGACAGTTTAGCCACCACAAAATTCTAGGTGGCAATGATTTCCTGAAATCTCTGCTCCTCCCTCTTCCTCCTCTGTGACTGAGAGGCTGTGGCAACCTGTGGTCTCTACTGTGGGCTGTGGTGGGCTTTTCTGTCATAGTAATGGCAATTTAGGTGTTACATTTCTGAAAAGACTTTTTTGGCAATATATTCTCAGTTGTATTTTGTATTCTGTATTTCTTTCACTCCTAATTGCATATTAAAGCCTTGATCCAAAACTAAGACTTCTCTGATTTTCCTCCTTGATTTGGTTTGCATTCATG